CACTGTTTGTTGAAGAAACTATTCTTTCCTCAATGAGTGGTCGTGGCATTCTTATTTTATTTATTTATTTTTAAAGATTTTTTTTTATTTACTTAAGAGAGACAGAGCACGAGCGGGGGGTGGGGTGGGGACAGAGAGAGAGGGAGAAGTAGACTCCCCGATGAGTAGGGAGCCCGATGCAGGGCTCCATCCTAGGACCCTGGGATCATGACTGAGCTGAAGGCAGACGCTTAACCGACTGAGCCACCCAGGCACCCGGGTCTTGGCATTCTTATTGAAAATCAGTTGACCATAGATGTATGGGGGGAAGACACGCTTAACTGAGAACTTTGGAAAACCACTTAATTTGGAACTTTTTTTTTCTCTCACCTATAAGATGGAGAAGATAATCTCTTTCTCTCAGAGTTTTCAGGATAAAATGAGATCACATATGGAGAGTGTCAGCCATACTACCTGGGACATAGTAGGTTCCCCAGTGAATGTTAATTCTTCTCTTGCTGCAAGAAAGAGGTAGGGTAAGCAGTGTAACATCCATCACCTCTATTCCTTCTCTTTTTCATATTTCCAGGACACAGGAGACGCTTGGATACACGGACATGTCTATTTTTGCCTCAACCATTTGTTGAGTATATGTTTACGACCCTGGACAAAGATGGTAAGTGGGGAGGTCTGGATAGGTTGAAGAAGTGCTTAGCTGGAAATGCAGTCAAGCAAATGAAGCAGTGGTCAGTATCTAATAATTCAATCAGCATTCCATAAACATTTACCTAGTCCTGACTTTGTGCCAGAATCTGTTCTAGGTTCTGGAGTTACAAAGACAAAAGGCTGCCCCTGCTCCCAGAAAGCTCTCAATCTAGAAGAAGAGACAGACTTTTGAACTGGTAGTTATAAAATGGTATAATATAAGTTCTGAGATAGACTGAAGTAGAGGTCGCTGTAAGAGTGTGCAAGAAGAAAATAATCCTAGCCAGAGGATTTCAGGAAGGCTTCTGGGGAAAAGTGACCCTTGAGCTGGGTATCAAACAATTCATGGGAAGGAGTATGAAGAACAAGAGGAAAAAAAGTTAGTATAGGAAATATGATATACAAAACTATGAAGACATGAATATATGTTCTGGGTTCTAGGTAATGAAAATATTTTAGGGAACACAGGATAGGGCTCAGTAGTGGAGTGAGAAAATTGTTTGACTTCATTGAGATGGCTGTTGAGATCTATTAATGATCATTATCTTCATCAGGGAAGTGACATGGTCTAATCTATGTTTTAGAGACTGAGGGAGAGACCTGTATGGAAAATGGGTGGTAGGGAAGAGGATGAGGCTAGAGGCAAGTAGAAAAATTGGGAAGAAATGTGTGTGGGGGGGATGTGTTAGGTGGATTGATGGTGAATCAAATATGGGAATGTGGGAGAGGGGGGACCTTGGATGAATCAGACTTCTGACATGGGGGAACTTGGCCATCGGCCATTCACTAGGTAGACACAAGAATGAGGAGCTAAATTGGAAAGGAAACATCATGTTTGCTTTTGGAGATGAAGCCAAATGGACATATCCCGTAGACAGGCTGTGTGGGACTAGAAGGGCAAAAACCAGTTTGAGCAGGAACACTGGTTAGTATAAAAAATATACATTACTGTCTGGCCTGCTGAAGGGAGAAGTGGGTTTTATTTGTTTTGCTGTGTTTTTTTCATGATAATTAAAATACTAATGATTTTATTTTTATAACAAAACTATAAAGAAAAAATACAGCTCATAGTCCTACTACTCAAATAATCCCTATTTAAAGAGAGGGAGGACAATATATACTGATAGAAAAAGTAAAAAAAAAAAGAAAAAGTACCCCTCCAGTGCTCCATTCCCTTAACCAATGTTAACACTTCCTTGTAATTCCTTCTAGGAAAAAAAATGCATGCACCCACTAGGTTCTGTATATCCCCAAAGGGGTCCTGCAGTATACAAGTGTTTAAGAGGTCTATTTTACTGAGCAGATTAGCCTTCTCATTGCTTTTTTAGACTTTACAAATCCATCTGTCCTGGTGGGGTGGAGCTGTGAGCTCACTGGGGGAAGGGCAGGATGTCCATTACCCTAGCTGAGGCTATAGGGGCTGGCTCAGGGTAGGTGCCCAGGTAAAGACTAAGTGAATGAGCTGTTGCTGCATCTTGGAAATTGGGACAGCTTTGCCTGCAGTTATAGCTGATTAAATGACTTATTCGGCAAGTGTCTTCAGAGTCCTAAGTGTGAAGTGCTATTTGTGTGTGTGTGTGTGTGTGTGTGTGTGTGTATGGTGAGGGAGGGAGCGCAGAGGACTCAGCTCCTGGACCTACTGAAAGGTAGAACCGGAAATGCCAGTCACCTTCTTCCAACTGTCTTGCTTTTTGAAATGGAAACTGAGGTCCAGAGTGAGATTATGATTTGCTAAAGTCACATGGCCTGTTGACTGCACAGCCAGCACAGAACTTCTGAGGGAGGTACCTAGTTGGAGGGGTTGGTGAGCTACCCTTCGACCTTTCTACCTCTTCTCCTCCTACCATAAAAGTAGCAACAATTCTCAACTCCTAGTCTCCAGACACACACAAGACTTTGAGGTGCTCTATGGAGCCCTTGGCCCTTGACCTGTTTGTAATGGGCAGGTTGGTTGACATCCTATACCTATTAGAGGCAGCTGGCTGGTATAGAAGGGAGAGCACTAGACTGGGAGTCAGGAAGCCTGGATGCTGCTGCCAGCTCTGCCACACCTGAACAGCCCTGTTTTGTACAGGAGGGAACTGAAGCTCAGAGAAGGGAACTGAGCCACTGCTTCCAACGTGAGAAGTCCTGTTCTTTAGGTGGTGTTCTTCCCATACATTGGACAGGGCTCCCTGAGACACTGCTGTCTGTGAGGGAAGCCCCAAATCCAGGCCTGGAAGGAACTTAGAGGAGTGGGTCTCAATCCCCAATACTCTAAGATCTCCTGGGAGCTTGCTAACAATCTAGGCGCTGGGGCCCTGCCCCCAGACAGACGCACAGATACAATTAGAATATTTTCTACTTGGGACCCGACATCTGGTTTTGTCTTTTTTTTTTTTTTTTTAAATAAACTTTTTTATTTTTCTAAAAAGTAAGCTCTATGCCCAAGGTGGGGCTCAAACTCACGACCCTGAGATCATGGGTTGCATGGTCTTCTGACTGGGCCAGCTAGGTGCCCCTGTTTTTGTTCGTCTTTCAACTCCAGAGTTTGAGACCCTCTAAGCTGGACTCTACGGTGAAAAACCACAAAAACAAAACCGTAAGAAAAGTGGTCGGAGATCCCCGGTTCTCGTCCCAACGCTGCTGCGGACTGGCTGTGAAATGCGGTGCAAGTTCTTGAGTGAGTCGCTTGGATTCTCCAACCAAACTTTCAAAGCACTTTTACATCTGTTACCTCCGCGCGCAGGTTTCGCGGATCCCATCTGATGAGGAGAAAACTGACTTCGGAGAAGGGAAGCGTCCGGTCTCAGCCGCTGGGCCAGGCGGGGACACAGCCTGGCTCTCCTGACGCCCAGTGCGCTCCGCCGCCCAGCCAGCCCAGCTCGGACGACAGGGCCCTGCCTCTCCCGCCCGCGGCGCCGCCCTGCCCGGCCGGGCGGCCGGAGGGCAGCGGGCAGCGCAGGGCTCCGACAGCCGCCGTCTGTCAAACCCTCCGCCCAGCTCCGCGCCAGGCCCTGCCCAGGCCCCCAGGCAAGGAGGCCCCGCCCTCGCGCCGCGATTGGTCTCTACGCGGCAGGCTCATCGAGCCAGTGGCTGGAGCGGCTGTCCGGCAGGTCTGGGCCCCGCCCCCGCCCCGGGATGCCGCCCCGCAAGACGCAGCGGCAGCGGCTGCTGCGGGGGCTGCGGCGCCAGTGGAGGCGCGCCGAGCCGTGCGCCCCGCGAGCTGCAGCCGGGGCGGCAAGGTGAGAGGGGGCGCGGCACATGACCCGGGGAGGGGGCGGGCGCCAGGGCCGAGGTCCGAGGGTAGGATCCCAGCGACGCCGGAATCCCGGGACCTTTGGAATGGCGCGGGAGCGCAGCGAGGAAAGGAGAGTTTGGGGGCCCCGGGCCCTTGTTCCAGTAGGGACTTTGGAAGGGCCGAGACCCTGTGGAGGGGAACCGAGCGCGCGTGTTTGTGTTGTGTGAGCCGGTGAGGCTGCTGGTGTTGCTGAGTGTCTGAGCGGGTGAATGAGAGAGCAATTCGTGTGGCACGCCGTGTCCCCAGTGTGCATTTGCGGGGGTGTGTGGTATGCGTGGGAGCCAGCGTCCATGGGCGTTACCGACTTTGTGCGGGTTTGCGCGTGCGATGGGTTTATTTTCTCTGCTGCGCGTGGGAGTGTGCGTGTCTCCGTGTGCTCGTGATGGGTTCGTGCCGCGGGAGTGAGCGCCCATCATCGGACGCCCACTCTCGGGCTTGGGTGGTCGTGGGTAAGTCTCGGAGGGTCCGCGCCCCAGACCGGTGGGTGCGCAGTTCATCATCCCTGCGCTCAGCCGGGTCTCCGAAGCGCCCAGGAGGCGCGCAGCCCCTGCCCCACCTGGAGTAGCCTCCGCCGCTTCGCCAGAGTCCTGCCCTGGAAATCCTAGTTGCCGCCCGCTCCTGTCTCACTGGGTGACACCGTACAGGCGCTCTCACCGCTCCAGGCCTCAGTTTCCCCATTCTTCCTTTGAAGAAGGCCGGTGTTGGTGGAGGCAGATTTGAGCGGGAGGGTGCACGGGCTTCTCGGAATGCGCTGTGGCTGCGGGGCCAGGGCCCTCGACACACCAGAGAAGAAGTGCGAGCCACTCTGTGCCGGGAAGGGGCTTTTGCGGGATCAGGTGGGTTTGTCAGGTTAAGGTAAGTGTGGTGGGGCTAACCCATTTTAGAGACGGGGAATAAACCGAGAAGTGGTGGTGACCTGGCCAAACCTACCCCGGGACAAGAAAAGGGGCTGTTCCGCTCATTCTAACGCGCGGGTGCTGTCTCCCCTCTCCAGGAACCCGGCGCGACCCCCGGCGGCCCGCCCTGCCCCGGCGCCATGCACTGCGAGGTGGCGGAGGCGCGCTCAGACAAGAGGCCGAAGGAGGCCCTCGGCGCTCCGGGTCCAGGCCGCGGGCCCACTGGCCTTGGCGGTACGCACATGGCCTTCAGGGTCACCGTGAGCGGCGGTGGCTGCGTGGATGGGGGCCCGCGTGACCTATTGCCCCGGCCGCCTGTGCCGCCGCCGTGCGCCCACGACCTCCTCCGGCCACGGAGCCCCCGAGACTTTGGGCCGTCCAAGACCGCTGCCGCCGGGAAGGGTAAGTCTGGCCCCGCCAACGTGCCTGGCAGAAGGTGTGGAGAAGTTCGGGCTGCCTGGCGGGGACACCGCACACCTTTGTGGGAACTTGGTGGTACTTTCTCTAGTGTTCATGAGTTTCTCTCTAGTGGTTTGCGACTCGGTCGTCATTATAAAATGATGGCCGTTTAGGAAGCATCTAATTTAAACTCAATAAACCTATGCTGGAGAAGGGTGTGTATAGAAAGTCCAGATTACATGATTTCGCATCTGTGTATTTCTGATAAAAGTTGTGTGAAACTTACAAAAAAATCTTATAAATTAGAGTGACTAGCAACTCGAGTATCTCTGAGCTGCCTACAGGCATATTTGGACATATTCCGATGCTAAATAACAAAAACCAGAGGCTTTCAGCAAGACCTCTCCCCTCTTGGAACCTCAGTTTCCCCTTCTGTCAATTAAGGAATTAATTATATCAGATGATTTCTGGATTCCTGATGGAAAATTTTATGAATGTGTGATCCAGCCTGAGTCAATTTCTGGTTTAAAAGAAGGCCTTTCTGAATTTGAAGCTTCAGAAGCATAATCTTTGGTTAGAAGTTCCTTTGCAATATCCTTCCTCTACCCAGTGAGGCTGGTGGGTGTAAGGTGCAGGCCCCAGTACGGTTCATGGGCTCAAAGTTGGCGATGATGCAGGCATTCTCATGAACCCGTTCTCATCACAGTTAATTATTATTGAGCCATTATTTATAAGTTTCATGCTGACAGATAATTAACCAGAAATTGGGGAGATTGTTAAGGTGCAGATTGGTACCCCCTCCCCCCACCTTATTTTCTCCCTGAGAGAAACCAAGGCTTGGGATTTCATTATTTTAGCTTTTCGGGCTTCTTGGTTCTATTTTCAGGTGATTCTCAAGGAAGACAAAGATTTCTTTTGGCTCTGTAGACACAAATCCTTTAGCATCAGCCCCAGCAACTTAGAAAAGTTAGGGTGTCTTGGTTTTAGAGATGAGAGCTTCTTCTGGGGAGAAAATAACCAACTTCCCAATTCAGGCAGTGGTGAAATGAACGTAAACAGTGTTTTTCTTCTTAATGAGAACACCTGACTTTGTTGAAGAGTGCAATTTCTTGCCTCATTTTCAATGTTAGTCTATTCTCCAGCAGATAGGGATCCTGTTTGAAAGGGTGGACACAGCAAACAATGGCTTCAGAGTATTATTATTGGGGTATGCATAGGTGGTGTTCTTTTACTGGGGAGAGAGGTGTGGTGGGTAGCAAGACATGAGTAATATTTGCTGTGCTGAGCTCTTTCACTTGCGGCGTTCCACACATAATCCTCCCTTAAACAGGTACCTCCTGCAGTGTTTTAGGTTTTAAAAAAATCGTAGCTGTCCCTGAAGACGGAGTTCTCTTAGGACCTGGTGAAATGTGGTCTCTCCTAGACCTCCTAAATGTGGTCTCTGCTCAGAGCCATGGTTAGAGACTTCATCAGGCTTTGCACATGAACTTCCTACTTCCATTCTTCCAAACCCCAGTTATTTTTATTTACACTCCCCTTCCCCCACCAATGTCTAATATATGAGATATTTAAGTCAGGATTGTATTTGGAAGGGGCAGAGGAGAATAAAGGGATGGGAGGAACAGCCTCTTTCTTTGTATCCTTAGATTGTCGTTCTGGTTAAGCTTTTGTAAGAGGCTTCTAAACTATTTTCTTCACGGTCTCCAGTGAGGCTGGTGGTGTAGAATTTATCATACCCATTTGAAAGATGAAGAAATTGAGGCCTGAGAGTGGGGAAAACGTCTCCTATGTAAAAGGCCACCCCGGGGTCTGGGTGGGAGTTCTCTGGCCAGCCTTTGCTCACTGACCTGGGCTTGAAGAAATTTCCACCGTGACCTCCGTCCTTCTAAGCGAGTTCTTTCTCACAGTCCAGTCCCTCAGTGATCAGAGACAAAATGAGCTTCCCTGCAGGGCTTCAGCAGTTCTCTTAAAAATGTCACAAGGAACCTTACTGCCCCTGCTCCCACTCAAATATTCCCCAGACCACGTAACCCTTTGAATGTTCGGTGTCTAGCTCCAAATCATAGGCTTATTTGAAATAGATGCAAATACCAATCAAAAAATACCCACAGACTATGCCCCGCCACCTATGATCTGTGGGAGCTTGGGGGGAAGCTGTTCTCTCTCTGAGCCTTAGTTTCCCCACTTATCAATTTAGTGTGAGACCGAGTTGGAAAGACTGAGGAGAGCTTTAGTGAAAGGACCACTTCAGTGTCTGGTTATTGTGGGGATTCCTCTGGGGGTGTGTTTAACGTGCTCAGCCTCTGGTTTTTCATTTGCATGAGAAGTAATAATGTCTCCTCCCAGGGTAAATCTAACGGTCGTAAGAATGCTTTATAAACTAAGAAGCTAGAAGGGGTCACTTTTATTAATTCATGCCAGGCCACCATCATGCTAGGGTAAGTGATACTTGCGGTGAAGGGGGCAGGGAAAGGAGGGAGAACGGTTTGATTTTTAAAATATTGAATGTGAAGCTTACTCTTGGGTGTGCTGGCCGGGGGAAGCCGAGAGGAGCCAAGCTTCGGGTCTTTTGTGTCCACGTCTGCCCAGAGAGAAGACAGTACTGCTCCGTCTGGGGTCAGGTTTCAGATGAGCTGTCTTCTGCTTCAGATAGACCCTAAGCCAAGGAAAGGAGCAAGCCCTTGAGTCTAGCAACTCATCCATATATGCTGGGCTTCTCGGCGTTTCCAGATCTGGAGTCAGGAGGCGCTGGGGATGGTGCGACGTCATGGGCTAACATTGTCATCATTTACAATAAGAATCATGATCTGTTTATGGCACAGTCCCGTTTATCCAGATTCCAGGCAGCTGCAAAGGCCAGATTACCAGATGCTGCATTTTTCTTTCTTATTATTAAACACCCAACACTGTGCCTTTGGAAGTCCTGACAAGGAAAGAAGGTAAACATCTGGGCTTTATGGAAGCAGACGGCTTTGTGGCGATGGCCCGATGACGCTTGTTCCCTGTGCACAGTGCTTTCCGGTTTCCACTGTGTGTTCCCACACATTCTCTCATCTGCCCTCACGCCAGCTGTGCTCTGCCTACCTTGTGGGCTGCTCTAAGGGGACAGATGTAGAGTGCTTTGCGGTCTTTAGAGCACATCATGACTCTGGCTCCCATTTTATAGATGAAGACACTGAGGCTCAAGGATGTGCTCAAAGCTACCGACAGAGAGTGGCAGTTTCTTTTTTCTTTTCTTTTTTTTTTTTTTTAAAGATTTTATTTATTTATTTGACAGAGAGAGATCACAAGTAGGCAGAGAGGCAGGCAGAGAGAGAGAGGGGCAAGCAGACTCCCTGCTGAGCAGAGAGCCCGATGCGGGGCTAGATCCCAGGACCTTGAGATCATGACCTGAGCAGAAGACAGAGGATTAATCCACTGAGCCACCCAGGCGCCCCTGAGAGAATGGTGGTTTCTAAGCCTCTCTCTTCCAAATATTCGATTCTGGTTCCCCAGCTTGTACCTTCGCTGAGAGCTGGCATAGTGGATGGCCTCCTGAATATTCCCAGAGAATTTAAAATATTTTTGCTTTTGGTGTTTCTTCTGTCCTTTTTGGAAGTAATACCTATGCCATAGTTAGAAAACTTCTTAGTTTACCATTTGTCCAGAGTTGCTCTTCCCAGACTATGCCAGATAATGAGCTCACTATTTAATTCACAGTGACTCTCTGGGATCCTTTCACAGACTATGCCCCGTGCTGAGACGGGGCAAGTCCTAGCAAAAAAAAAGAGGCCGAGGATCGTGACACATGTGTGTCACTGCCATTAGTAAACAGCCATCGTAACATGGCCGTAAATGCCAAGAGGTAGTCAATCTTGTAACTTAAAAAAATAGCTAGTATATAGATTTTTTTTTTTTTTTTCAAAAAGGGAAAACAAAATGCAGTTGTAGTTTGTGTGCCGGGCATTAGAGACCGGCGATGGTGGAGAGTAAACACGATGGTTTTGGTGGTGTTACCTGGTAGAATTTCTTCATCCAAATCAGAAGCCCCTGTATGTCCTGGGGAGTCTTTGGAGGGGCTAGCGCACCCCTAATAGAAAGGTATGAGTTATTTTGAAAGCATTTACCCCCTCCGGCTCTGGTGGGCAATTTGCTTGCATTTCATCCATTTTAAAGTGCTGGTCCTGCGATCCGGAAATAATCAGATCCAAATTTTTTCGGTGCTTGAGGTTTCAAAAAAGGGGGAGAAAAACCTGCTGGCCAAATGTCAGGCTCTGTGAGACAAAGAGAGACATGTATGTGTGTGGGTACACAAACGCGATAGGAACATGTTACGTCTACAGTCCTGAGAGTTATGTATCCGACAAATCTTTTATGGACGTGTAGCGGAAATAGAATTCCCAAAGATTCCCCAAGAATCCTGGGCGGCTAGAATTTCTCTTCCCTTCCTGCCTCCCAAGCTCTCCAGAAGCTGTTGGGACTTGGTATACAAATGGAAAGGAGACCATCACAGGAGATCGTGACTTAATTTCGGCCTGGTTGTTTTTGATCATTTTACCTGTCGTGCTTTGCTGGGCTGAGGTCTGAGGACCCCTTTAGCCTTGGCGTCATATAGATAGGCTGTGTTGTCCCATCTGTGATTTAAAAGCATAAGTTTCTTTATATGCTGTGGTTTTCCTTCACACTTCTGAGAAAAAAAAAAAAAAGCCATCTCTCTGCGTTATATTTGCGTGAGAAGCTAAATGAGCCAGCACACTTAGTTTTACAGTGCGTTAAAATCTCATTACAGGCATAAGTGCACAATGAATCATTTAAAAAAATATATTCTTATGTTCTTTGTTCTGAATGTTGCATAATTATCATCATTTTCTTCGGTTTTATTTTGTGGAGTTTGGCCAGCATCCTAGAAAAGGGGAGAAACTAAAGTTTTCAATCCTTTTTTGGATAGGATTAGAAAAAAAAAACAACAAACAAATAAATACCAACTTTATTTGTAAATTGACCAGTGACTATTGCTAATTGTG